TTCATGCCAAAGTCAGCATGGCCGCCGCCGACCGTTCATCTTTTGGGGCGCAGTCACCAGCATCATGGCGTATGTGCTGCTCATGTTTGCCTCCGACCTTTGCAACTCTCAAGTCGGACGTGGGGTGTCGTCAGAGCAACTTTTTTTCTCGCAAGCCACAAATTTTGAGCGTATATTTATGTCGCGCCCAGCACATCCGGGGACCGTGCTGCTTGCTGCGGTGGTGTAACATGCGCCTGCCTGACATGGTCTGCCCAGCGATGGTATCTGCACCGACCGAGAAGGTGCTGGCACTATCGTACAATGAGACGCTGCCAGCTTGAAGCTTGTCAAGGGCAACCGAACGAATCGATGGTGGGTTGTGGTTGGCGGAGAGCAGGCTCCTTTGTGCACGATTGGTCCAGAAAGACTAGCGTGGAGTTGCTTTCAAGGAGATTGTTTGGTGGAGGGTCCATAGGGGTGTTAATAAATAGGTCTGCAACGTATCACGATGGTGACTTGGTCTGGCACATGGCACAGACATGGCTGAGGCTCACGTTCAGGTATGTGCAAGCTGCGCATGTCCATCGTTTCTTGGAAGGCGGTACTTGGGGGGGGGCATTCGACCGTTTCTGCGACGGTCGGCTCTTCTTGAGGAGGCCCTTGCGTGTGGCTGGAGTCGAGTGCCGGGGTGCTGAGCCTGTGGCAAAGATCGAGTACACAGGCTATTCATACAATGCGTTCACCTTAAACATACGCAAGGGTGCGTACCAGTGGTGGCGGTGTCCAGGACTGTGCCACTGGTGCGTCGTTGAATGGGGAGACCAGCGTGGCCTCGGACTCGAGGAAACGCAGAGTAGCTGCGAGTTGTTCCTGTTCTCTTTCGCGTCGCTCTCGTTCGACTTCAGACTTGCACTGCTCATAGTACAAGTAAAGTTCGCCCGGGACTGCTGAGTTCTAGCCATGACAGTTCAGCAACGGTCCAGCAGCGCTGATGGCGTCGTACAGTTGGTCGGGATCCATAGTCTCCATCGACGCTTTCAAATGTGACTGCGCTAAGGTCCATGTTCTTGACCTTGGCTTGAATCTCAGCCCACAATGCTTCGTCCACCTGGTTGTTGTGGAATAGTCAGATGCCAGCATCACACTGACGCATTGAATGGAACACACCTTTTTCGACTGCCGCCGAGCAAAGCTAACGATGCGTTTACGACAAAATGCACAGTTGGTCGACGTGAGGTCCACTGCACGCTCAAAGCATGTCAGACTAGGTTGAGAGCGATGAGATTCCAATTCTCCCGTTAGGGAAGTATAAATCTACACGGATGACTCACTCGGGAAGGATGGCCTTACCAAAGATGCTTTCGGCAACATGGAAGTTGCACAGGAGACACCAGTAGATCCAAGCACAGCGGGCATTGGTACCGCGACGGCAAGCAGTTCCGTTCACAAGTGGGGGCCGCGGTCGCCATAATTCCCGCTGTGGAAGTCAGAGCTGGCGGCGAAATTCGACCAATCACGTGCTTGAAGGTTCCCAGAATAAAATTGCATACAAGGAGCTCGCAATAATTTGGATTCCCAAATTTAAAACTATTATTAAATACCATCTGGATCATGGTATTTTCGAATCGGGTGTAGAACAGGTCAGAGTCTTTTAAAACTTCTTTTAATCGACAAGAGCATCCGGATATTTATACGGTTTTTCCCCCGTTCCATGTCCACAACAAGACAAGACCAAGATGAGTTCTGGGATCCTTGCCGCGTGCCTACGCACGACGGGACTACCGCTCATGGGCGTCATCGCGGCAGCCATCTACTACTACGACATGACGAAAAATGTGGTAGCCTTCATGCAAGTGTATGGATGGTTCGTTGTCTTGGGCTGTGTGGGCCTTTTCTACTTGGATCACTTGTTCGCTATTGAACTGGCGAAGTGGGACCGCCAACAGTCTCTGAATGCGGCCAACGGTACCGTGGATGCTTTCGATCATATCCTCGACCTGCCATGTCGTTGTAGCACCGGAACGGGTGCAGATTCTTGAGGTGGAAGCGCGCCGAGCCAGGGAGTTGCAGCAAGCCAAGCTGGAAGCAGAGGTCTGTCCGCGATAGACCCAGTCAACTCCTTATCATCGTGACGTGCAGATCAAGGCGAAGCAAGCACAAGCCGCACTGAAAAAGAAAGCCCAACCATCGCCTGCCAAGCCGCCGTCGACAAACACGACCACTCGTGAGTACAATATGCTTGACGGTACATGAAGTCCTTGCTGTGACATCTTGTCGAGTCATGCATATCCAAGGGGCGGGAAGCTTCGCTCGATATCAGCCGTCGGGCTTTCAACGCCCCCGTGGTGGATGACGCTAACTTGCTGAATTCACCGCACTTGCGGGGGAAGCGATGGGCGACCGAATGACGTGGCACTGCAAAAAGACGTGAGTCTCGTGGTGCTGCCGAGACATGCCCTGCATCTACCAACGATTGGAACAAACGCCCGTTGGCTGAATCCCCGCACGTGTTGTGCACCTAGGTGTGGCTCAAATATTGTATTGAATTCGCCGAGAATTACCCCTGCTAATCATGTCCCATCACTTCATCCCACGGGAGCCGCGAGCTGGTGCGGTGGAATTATCTCGCGGAAGAACGCCAGGTGTGCACTTCGCGTCGTCCACACAGCGCTTGCTTATCGCACTCATAGCGCCAAGGTGTGGTCTCGGCCACAACTCACTTGGTGGGCTGCTTGGTTGGTGGGAAGCTTGACTTGGACGGGGGTGTTTCGAGATGCCGCGATGCTTTCAAGCTGATCGCCACGGCCGAGTTGGCCACTGCGGCCTCGTCCAAATACCCACAAACTACCGTGGGCTGCACACGCATACAAGTCAGGGCATTCATGCCAACCTTGCGTGAAGGTCATGGGAGTGCGAGCTTGCTTACCAGAAGTACACACTGTGTGGCCGCCGCCGCACGCGACGTGGACAATGCCGAGGCCATCCAGCTCCGAGATCTTTCGTGGAATGTTTTGGTCGTCTGGAGTGCCAAGCCCGAGTTGGCCGTCCTTGCCAAGGCCCCACGTGAATACCTCGCCTGCATGGGGGCGTCATGCGCTTCCCAGTCATTCATCCCCAACGGCGTACCCGACGCAGTCAACGCAGCGCTGTGGTACTCGCCAGCCGCAACTTGAACGACCTGACCATGCTCGTTAAATTCGTTGACTGGAAAATCCAACAAATGGTACGTACTTGAAGGCCGTTCAGCGCCGTCACGGGCAACGGCGTGCGCTGGTATCGCATGGAGCCTGCCACTCCCAACTGACCATAGTCGTTCGCACCCCACGCATACACCACGCCTTCCTTTGTCAAGGCCAGAGTGTACTCTAGTCAACGGTTATGGGGTCATTCGAAGTGGTAGACGAGCATACCACGCCCGCATGCTGCCTGCACGACAGTCTCCTTTGCCAGTGCAGATACCACTTTGGGTCGATCAACGTTCGATCGATCTCCATGACCGAGAGCTCCTTCATGACCAAGCCCCCACGCATACATCTACCACGTCGCCATGAGTGCTCCGAGTCGTCATGGCGTCGAAGCAAACTCTCACGATTCAAACGGCAGACAGTTGCAACCTTGGTTGAATTCGTACCTGGCCATCGTTCGTGATAGCTACCGAGTGCTGGCGTCCGCAAGCGACGGCTTGGACTTTGCCTAGAGCACAGAGAAAGCACCTCAGCAGCACCGCATGCATTGCCACGACTTGTTGAGCTACCGCGCAGCTCAACTACTTCATTCGGGAAGCCGCGGCGGTCGTTCCTACGAATAGCTATCAGATCCTACAGCACTTGATGCACTGATAGGAATTCGTACGCATGACCGAGTTGAGGACTGCCATGGCGGCCCCACGAGAACAGTCGACAGTCGGTCGTAAGCGCCATCATGTGGTACTCCCCGATCACCACCTTTTCAAACAAGACGTTGGGCACATGCAGCAGCTGCGGAGTTGACACGTTTGGCGTGTCGATGGCATCGCCGTGGCCGAGGCGAGCACTCCCGCCTACGCTGATGCCATGACACTCGTACGTGGGACATGCGTACCTGCGCCAAACGTGTACACATGGCCATCTGTCGTTACAATGGCAGACGAATTCCCACCGCACGCGACGGACCGCGGCGCAGGGTCCAGTTTGACGGGCGTGGGGGTCGGCAGATCCACTTCGTGGCCTTGCCCCAATTGCCCAAACCCATTCGAGCCCCAGCTAAACGCGCGGCCCTTCGAAGGCGGTGGTGGGGCACTTTTATTGTATGCACAGGACGTAGCCGCGGCGGCCATCAACGGCATCGTAACACTTCGCACGGCGGAGCGGAACATCCCCATGACGATCGTGTGTGGTTCTGGTGGCGAACTTTATCCGGTCAATTGGATAATCCGGACAAGTCTGGCACTTGATCGGAGACCAGGTCGGTCGAGGCAAGGATGGGCTGGCGACGGCCACCAGCAAAGCCTCCGGAGGGGAGCGTCATGGGTGAGCAGGAAGCTGCGTCCTGTTGAGGATGTTGACACACGACAACGGCCACGACGACCCTGGAAAACCAACCCACTTGAACAAAGCACGAACCCCGACGACACCATGAACGACAACCTGTTCACAGCCAAAGGTTGCTGTGGAGATACATGTAGAACGATAGATGAAGAGCGCAGACCAATCGCGCTCGCTGGATGATTAGAAGGATTAGGACGATAGCAGTCTAACCCACAATGCACTTCGGAATTCACATCGGCTTCAACAGCCAAGTCGCTCGACCTCAGCACAAGTGCAACAGGTTATGAGCCCAAGCATGTCGAGCATCAAGTCGCCCACCATCCTACTCAACGAGAGCAACTGGAATCAATGGCGGACTTACATCCGAGGCCGGCTCCTCACCAAAGGCATTTGGTACGTCATGGAGGGGATGTCGAAAAACAAAACACGGAGCGGGGAGACGAAAGACGACGCACGCGATCGATACTTGTCGGACTCCAATAAGGCCTACGGGATCATCATCGAAGGAATCGAGGCCAACCAGTACCAATACATCGAGGATGCTCAATTGGCCACAGAGGCGTTCACCGCCCTGTCCAACCACCACGAACCGAAATCGCAAATTGACCGTCTCGCACTTGCCTCTGAGTACCATGGATTGAATTGGAACGACAAGCAGGAGACGCTACCTGAGTTTCTCGAGCGCTACGACGTCATTTTGCGTAAACTTCGCGAGGCGAAAAGCGGGATCCCCGTCGACCTCGCCGTGGAACGCCTGCTGTACCTGATGCCATGGCAATTGAGGCACATTTCCCACCAAGTGTTGG